CTCTTCCGAGTCGCTGGAGCTGGCCCATCTGCTGACAAGCAACGACCCACCGCTTGAATCCGAGCTCCCATCCATCCGCGAGGCCATCGGTGATGGACAGGACAGGATCATTGCGCTGGATGTGCAGATTGGGTCCTTGAAGGCGCAGATCCGCGATTTGCGAGCTTCACTTTCCCAGTACCAGAGCCGGCGCGAAGAGGTGGCGGAAAGTGTTCGCCGACACCAATCCGTCATATCCCCCATCCGACGTGTTCCTGCCGAGCTTATTTGCGAGATCTTTCTCGTAGCGTCGTCGAGCGAAGATGGGGTGATCAAGCCGCCTTGGTATCTCGGCCAAATCTGCAGATCTTGGAGGAACCACGCTGTCTCATATGTGGCTCTCTGGGTCTCCCTCACCGTCGGCCCTGATGTGGGTCTGACACTGTGGAGGCTTAAAGAGCAACTCTTGCGATCGGGCAATGCAGCTATCGATATCATTTGGCAGTGCGGTGACGATCATCCTCGCCTTATGGATTTATTGCTGCCTCATTCTTCCCGCTGGCGCACTCTGCGGTTCGAAGATTGTGGACTCCAAAATTTTGAATGGCTTAACGACTTTGACGTTTGTCTTGATCGATTACAGAAAGTCGAAGTCTACTCCCCTGACACGGAGATCTACATCCCTGACGTCTTTTCGACGGCACGAAACCTGCGCAAAGTCATCCTGACCCGGCACGACTTCTCGGATTCCGCAGACATCGAGATTCCTTGGCAACAGATCACTCACTATCATGGAAAATATTCCTCCGCACGACAGCTGGAGATTCTGAAGGCGGCAGCTCGCACGCTCCAGGAGTGTGTAATCGGTTTTCCAGAGGAGTTGGACAGCGAGCCAGCGGACATCTTCACGCTACCTAACCTATGCCGGCTGTCCTCGGACTATGTGAATATTCTCGCATATCTTACAGCGCCAAGTCTCGCAGAGCTTCGTTTGGTAATCGGTGATGACCCAATGAGCCTGGTGGCCCCCTTCATTCATCGATCCTCCTGCACACTCACAAGGCTTGCCTTGGTTGAATGCGGAATCACCCCCGAAGTCATCTCCCTCCTGCGGACCCTGCCGAGCCTCAGATCCCTGCTAGTAGATCTCGAGCACGACGACGACCAGGTCGACACTGACTCAGGCAGTGACTGGACTACGACGATGTGCATGTCCGGCGCCCCTTCCGACATATGCCCTCGTTTGACGTCGTTTGAACTGGGATATACACATAAAGCCCAGGTCCCTTGGGATTCATTCTTCGCCATGGCGTGGTCCCGGTTTCAGATAGACTCGAGTTTTCATTCTCGCCTATCGCGCCTCCGCGTCGTGCAGCGATATGACGCTCCGTCGAACAGGATGGTCGCCAAAATGAAGATGTTGCAAAATAGGGGATTTGACGCAGCGTTTGCAGATGGTGATTACCTAACCAAGCATCTGTTCTAAACGAGGCAAGCCTTTTTTGTTCTCTCTGCCGCCAACCTGCATTTACATTCATATAGATAGATTCCTCGCGCATGCACTCCATCCCTTGTGCGGAGATTTAAAAAGGGACACAATCATTAGGTCGCGGTCTACAAGTTCAGGGCAGCCATGATCGAAGGGTATATACATCCTGAAGGTCGTTTAATGGTCTTGATAGCGTCCAGTAGTGCGTCGTGAAAGAAGTTGCTCGGGCGCGATTCGCGATTCAACTGATGCCTTGTTGACTTTTTCGGCGAAGCACTGGCATTATGGCTAGGCGCAGTGTTCACGATCTGCGAATCGCCCCAAGAAGGTGAAACCCTGGACTCCTCGGCGCGTATCGGGCCGATTGATTTTTCGGATCCATGATGTCCGATATAAACGACAGGATTTCTGCATACCCGACAAAATCGACGCGCCTCCCATTTTTCCATTTCCATCCTCGTCACGCTCTGCACTCTCGCCGCCACCACGGCCGTCGTCGTGGGAGCATTCGAATTCCCTCGGCTTTCTCCCTCTCTCCTGAAGTTCAATGTAAGAGGGCAAGACACAGAGACGCGGGGTGCGCACCCGGACTTTATTCGCGTGTTGTAAGTTAATATAACCAGGGAGTGCTCGTTCGACTCGAGCCTGGGCCATCCAGTTTGAGGTCATGGATTTTGTTTTGTTCTTTCCAGATGCTTTCTCTGTCTCTCTCACAAAGTTCAACACTGTATGAGGAAAGACCCAGAGACGCGGGATGCGCACCCTGACTCAATTTGAGAGCAATGGCAGGATATAAGCAGGCAGTGCTCGTTCGATTCGAGCCTGGGCCATCAGTTTGAGGTGTGGATTCCGTTTTCTTCGGCTCTTTTTCCAGACAATATGGCCGCCTGCGTCTCGAGGGAAACACGGCCGAAGTCCATTCTGGTCTCCCAACAAACCATTTCTCTCTGGCGAGGTTTTTCTTTTGGTTTGCTTACTCCCGAGACTAAAAGTTCAACTGAATACCAATAGCATGTTCAACCTGAGTAGCTTTAGTACTGAGAACTGGTGTAGTGAGCAACAGAAGAGCTGGATCATTGTGGATTCAAGCGCGAGACGGGCTCGAGATCCAAGTCAATACTACGTATCCTCGTCCGCGTTTGAGATATTGAGTAACAAAAGAAAACGTTGAGTTGTTAGGGCATTGAAAGATGCCATAACCGCACGCAGTCACAACTGGCACAGTAAGTCCGTTCCGCCCACTGGCAGGAAGGTGAGATCCAACCGAATCCGCGCAATGAGGGGATACCGTCTCACAGGCCAGCGAGGACAGGAATGAGGGCTGCAATTGATCCAATACCGAGTTGGTCCCGTCGCGAAGGGTGCTTTGTGAACTTGTGGTTGAGGGTCGGATGGTTCCGAATTTAAGATTTGTAGCCATAGAAGTGAGCGTTCAACTGATGTGCGCGCCCGATCTGGGACTCGTGGATTATGGATAGGCGGACGATGTATCGAGCCCCGAGCCTTGATTGAGGGACATGAGCGAACATAGTAAAGAGACCGAGATAGAAACAGAAGGCCACCAGCATAGGTGCGTAAAATTCTATCGACTCCCTAGGACTGTTCGTCACGTAGCGTGCCCTACAGTAGAATTGTCCGCCGAAAATGTCTAGACAGAAATACTTCGGACAGTGGTAATCTTCGGTAATGATGAAAGATTCACCCAGTTCTGAGCGTACTGAGGGGCTGGACAGATAGGCTCCTTTTTAATCCAACAGGGGGAGCTAATCCTGGAGTTGAAATCTCAACTTGCCAATCCTTGCATAGACTAGGGACCCTACTAAGATACCAATCATTATGCGCTGAAAAGTCCTTGTATTTTTGTTTTGAAACTATCTCGTAAATGCGGACGGCATGGCAGCACCCTTTGTAGTCTTAAACGAACGCTTGCGACTCTTTGTTCACAGAACAAAAGCAAAAAGCCCTTATTCCCAAAAGGAGAAGGCGGCGTTGAGTGGCCAAATAAGGACAAAGGCCACGTCCATTGTTCTCCCACACCGCCATTGTCTCCCTCAAGCGCTCGGTGGCCCGCACCTTGTGCTATAAAGCCATGCTAGGAATTGCTAGTGCTCCCCAGTACTCTCCCCCACACGGCACGACCCTCAGGACCGGTTCCTTCACTTTTTCACTTTTCTTCACTTTCAAGAGCATTCACGACTCACGAACACCACATTCCCTCTTCACTTATTCCAAGACCTACTTGACGCCTTTACACACCAACGAACGAACCTGCAATGATGTTTTCCTCGATCCTCAAGTCCACTGTGCTCGTGCTGGCACTCGCTTTACACGCCAACGCCCACGCGATGGCCACGCCTGCGCTTGGCATCTCGGGTACCCCAAAGCGCAGCGACACGCAGCGCCCGTCGACAAAGTCGCCCTGTGGCAGCGTTGACATCGCGTCTAACCTCGACAAGACGGCGGCCGTTCCTGTCGAGGATGATGGCACGACCGTTAACCTCAATGTCACGAACTTTAATGCGTGCGTTCTGAATCCTTCTTTCACTGCGACGGTTGGCTGATTCTTTGTCTGTGCGCAGCGGCGGGGACGGATCGCGCTCCGTCTCGGTGCTCGTCGACCCGACGGGCACGGGCAAGAAGTTCGTTGCGGCCAAGGTCACTAAGAACGGGAATGCCGTGCGTCTCTTTTCTCTCCCCACACCCCTCCCCCATGGCTCACTTGCCCGCGACTAGAACCCGAAGACGGACGGTACGGACATCGTCACGCTCTCCCTCCCCGCGGGGACCCAGTGCACAGGTGGCACTGATGGGAATAGGTGTCTCCTGGTACGTCTCCTTCGTTATCCCCCATTAATTCTTCCGTGATACTTACCTATCTGCGATTTAGTCCGTAAAATCCACCGCCGGCTTCGGCAACTGCGTCGTCGTCACGCAAACCGCCTCTTCATCTGCAGCGCCCGCTGTCTCTTCTTCCCCCGCGGATGCCTCTCCTTCTGCCTCCCCCTCCACCTCCGCCGCTGCCGCAACCATCCCCTCCGCATCCACCGCCACCGCCCCCGCCGCTCCAAGTGCAAGTGCCGGCGGCTCAACGAAGAGCAAGGCGAAAGTCCCCTGCAGCAGCAACCGCAAGCGCCGCGCTCTCGGCACGCGCGCCCCGCGCGCTTTGCGTCTTGCCGCTTCTGCGTCGAGTTCTGAGACGGGGTCGGAGGCGGAGGGGCTGCACCCGCATCCTTTTTTCGCGAGTACGCCGCTTTGAGGATGGACCCGCGTGGGCTATGGGATGCAAGCTGGTCTGATTTTGGACTTCGCTGTGTAGACATTGATCGTATGTAGAATAAGGTCCTGTATTTCTAGCACAGCTCCTCTCTTTGTAATGTGATCCCTGTATCTCTAAATCTCTTGTTTGGGTAGCAGTAGGGCTGAGGTCAAGCAGTACTTGCCCCGCCGAGATGGTGATGCGCTGAATGTGTGAGTGGGAAAAAAGGGTGGTAACAAAGGCGGGAAGAAAAAGACCATCCGGCCACAATGTGCATGCCCCAGGTGGGATTCGAACCCGCGGAGTCCGCTGAAACGTGTTCGAAAGTACTTATTCAAAGCGGAAGATCTTCCAACTGATCTACCGGGGCTTGATAGTGGCTTGACAGAATCCAAATCGACCCGCAGTTGTATTGGACCGCATCGTCCTCCGGGCGTTCCATGCTGCTGCTGTAATCATCGTGCACGGTGGATGCCGACGTCGACTGTGAGACATTAGACAAGGTGCGTGTCACGGCATCAGAAGGGAGAAGGTGGAAGGAGTGGAATCAAAAAGGATCACCCAGCTATATGTATGCCCCAGGCGGGATTCGAACCCGCGTCGTCCGCTGAAATTGGTAGGAAAATACTGGAATTACTTGAAGCGGAGGATCTTCCAACTGATCTACCAGGGCGCGATGAAAAATTGGGGTCTCACGGTGACGTGCTCCCAATTTTTTTGAACCTGGATTCAGCCTGAAGACGATACATGTATAAGAGAGGCCTATGCAAGATAAAAAAATATGGAGACCAAAGGCTATACCGTATACCCCCGGCCGGGAGTCGAACCCGTGTCATCCGCTGAAACGCTACAAGTCGTGGATTCAAAGCGGAGGATCCACCAAGATCCACCGAGGCTTAGAACACTGCTTAGAACTACCTAGACGTCTATTGGGCAGCTTCGGACATTGCAGGCGCGTTGTTGAATATCGATATTGAGTTGGAAAAGAAATTATGGCATTGACCGCGGCCTGGGCTAGACTGGGTGCCAGGGTGTATACCCCGCACGCTTCTGTCTCGGCTTCTTGCAGTTGTAGTACAATTCCCATTCAATGTTCGTCTCGAGGCGATTCCACGATGAGATCACGCGGCTTTGATGGCGCATCAATGATGCGCGGTAGGTTCAACTTGCTTCAGAACCTCGAGTCCGTTTATGCGTTCCAAGTGCTGCCACCTCAAGGATAAAAAAAGGGGAATTATGCCCCATGCCCTCCGAGAGGAGTCGACGGAACTTGAGGTTGATCATTAACCCACGTCTTCCAAAAGAATCGAACGCGCAGGACACCACTGGCAACGGATATGTATGAGCGTTTGGGACCGCACAAGGACACCTGGTTCGTGGTCATTATCTGCTCATAAAATTCCCCCTTTGCGAGAGGAGACATGAGTACCTACTGTTGAGAATCTTGAGATCAGCACCATTCCATTTGCCTGTATGTATCAGCCGCCCAGGGTCCAAAAAATTTTGCTTCAAGGAAGCCGGTATGAGAATGAAGGAAGAGAAAATGCACGCAAACCGAGCTCAATCGCACGATAAATCAGATCAACACAGGCGCCATTTCAGAAGAGTAATATACATGGACATCCAAAACACACTATGGAGTCCAGAAAGGCCACGACTGTAATGGTTTTGGTAAATGGGATGCAGCCGGCTGGGGAGAGATATACCTTGGAGAAACCACTTCACGGGAGTTACTGGAACATCTTGATGTCTGGTTGGTCAAGCCAACTAACAAGGAGGTTCAGGTCGATTTGAGCGTAGTTAAGCCTGAGATACTTACCCGTTCGTACTGATGACATGCAGCGGGGACGAGCGTCGAGTTGCGAGTCACTCACCCCCTGTAAATACGGGCAAGTTTGGGAGTCAACATCCAATAAATGCATACTGTACGTACGCCAATCTCAAACGGAGTCAGTAATAAAATAGAATCTCAGCCTAGGGGGGGACTCACCTGCTCGATCTGGAATGGGGTTGAATTGAAGAGTCAGCTTTCGGGTCTCGAGGAATTACTCACTATCTGGATAGAAGGGTTCAGATCATTAGTCGGTTTGTAAAGAGTGTTTGCAAAGACCGTTCGAAATGACGCACACTCTGCGACCAAAGGCATTTTATACACAAAGTATGGAGTTTGCAATTCCGCTTGAATCACTCACACCCTGTAAATACGCGCACTTTCAAACCACGTGTTCCCACAAAGAAAAGAAAAAGTCACCCACCTCCTGAAAATGAGTTGAGTTTAGCAGTCTTTGCCACGTTGTTCTTGATGAATCACTCACAACCTGAAGCTACGGGTCAGGACCGGGAGGCACCAGTCAACAGCGAGTGTGTACGTAGAACCCTTCCGGCTTGCAACCAACTTCGGTGTGAGAACCCAGCTGCGAGCCAAGCTAAAAATCACCCACGAGCTGGAAATGAGGTCACACTTTTGCCGGTCAACTTTGCTGTGCCTGTTGGATCACTCACCCCCTGAGAAATAATTCAGATTGGATTCGGTGGTGGATGAATATGAATAACACACACGCTGAAATCTTCCTCCTACAGAGCGGTTCAGTATCGGAACCCAGCATTACGAGTACTTATGTAATAAGTAATCGTCCATTTCAAAACTTTCCATATGAGGATTTTGAGACCACCGCGAAAGTCAGTCCGCCGATTTCGTTATACCCTTTTTAGTGGCTGTGTTGAAGCCTTTCCTAACTTATCGTTAGGTTTCTGAAGTGATACGATAGTGGCTGTGTTTCTGTCTTGGTAATCCTCGGCGATCAACGCGAGCGTTCAATCCCTGGCCCTGACGTTTTGATCTCAATTTACAGCCTCTTTTGTGGTACTAGTTGTTGCGTCTGCACGTCTTGTTCTTTGCTGCAATCATTGCCAAGGAAAAACCAAGTGAGACAGCCGAAAAGGAAATCTGATGAGATGAATCTTGAGGAAGCAGCTCACAGGCCAGGACTGTTTGGTGGCCAGCAGATTGTCGTGGTCGGTGAAAGAGGAGGTCCGATCATCTGTCCGTCATTCCGCCGTCACAAGACATTGCACTGCCTTCGCGGGCTACTGCAGTGCGCCCAATCAGGGTATTTGGGGTGTATTCCATTCAGCCGCTGCTTTTGTGCTCAAAAAAACCAACTTGGCCAACATTCCGACAGTTATTCTGAATTCAAAGCGTGTTGCTCAAAAAGCATGGTTGATTCGCAAAGTATACCAGTAAGCGCTTCCACAGATTCTCATCTCACTCTGTCCTCCTTGGAGTGGGTTTTACCATGTAGATTCACAGATTTCAGAGTCTGCGAGGCAACTTCTGCAGCGAGACAACAATGAATGAGTGCCGGCCCTAGCGCTGCGACCTATGTATGCCAATTGTAGTGTCTTATTCAAATTCGTTTCTGGGGCTCAACAGCCGTCACTGACCATATATATTCACCTGTAGCAGCAGTTCGGCTCACCCATCAGAAATCTATACTGCATACTAAAGTGCGCCATTCAACATGTTGTGATCGAGACAGAAATTGCGGTGCTATTAGGCAAGTGCTAGGTCAGAGACACACCAATACTTTAAAAACAGGGACATAAGTGCGAGTTTCTGCTGGGCAACGCCACGGCCCTACAACCCAAGTCAGGTTGGAATTAACTCACGTTCTGGAAAGACGCTCACATTTCCAAGTCAGGTTCCCGGTCCTGGAAGAATCACTTACGCCCTGGGGGGAGGGTGTCATATCAGGGTCACATTTGTGGTCTTTGATAAATCACTTACCAACTGGAAAGGGGTTTCAGATCGGAAGTCAGCAGTTAATAAATCAATCCGTACCCCCGTATCACCGAACTAGAAATGAAGGAGGGACGGTGTCATTTCAGAGTCACATTTGTGGTCCTTGATAGATCACTTACCGCCTGGAAAGGAGTTTCAGATTGGGAGTCAGCAGTTAATACCCGCATGAATCACGTACCCCCTGCGAAGACATAGAGGTTATACCAAGGTTATTCCGCTTCGCAATGCGTAGTCAACGACTCACAGTCTACAAACAGGCTCGAGCTATGACAAAGTACCGGGGAAACCTAAAAAAACGCTCACGTCCTGGAAATGAGGCCGAGTCAGGGAATTAGGCCCCCGGGCTTTGGTAAATCACACACTTGCTGGAAAGAGAGTTAAGAGAGTTAAGATCGGAAGTTGAGGGTGGACAACGACTTCATACTTACTATGATATCGTCCTTAAAAGACCTTCGACGTCAGACACGAGCTTCGAGCCAAGCCAAAAATTGCTCACCGCCTGAAGGTGGCGTGCAATTCGAACTGAGATTCATAGTTGTTGAGAAATCACTCACATCCTGAAAACCGGTTGATATGGAAGTCCGGCGTTTAGGAGATTGGAATGACTTGCCTCCTGCCGGCAAAAGCATGGTAAACGTGAAGGATTCGACCTCTCAGATCATCGGATCACTTACAAGCTGACGACGCAGGTCAGCTTTTGAAGTTGAGTGAACGACCAATTGCCAATAACTCACAAGCTGCACAAGAGGTGTTGTACGTGAGCAATCCAGATTCGCGACCGTATGGGTGTAATACTGTAAAATAATTACTTTGTGTAGCACCCCGGTTTTCTGAGAAAAAGTGACACCCTGTTTTCATTTTGAGCAGAAAAGGTCAGCAGTGAAATTCGAGCCTAAATGTAACAGGCGCAGTAAACCGAAAATGTAGTCAGACATTCTGACAGCATTGACACATAGGAAAGGTCTTCAATGGGATATATTTTCCTTGCAGCCTTTGTCCTGTGGCATTGACCTGATTCTAGGTACGTCCAACGCTTTCACGAGCCACCAGCACTCTGCAAGACCAGGGTCCTGAATTCCGGCCTTCGCTCCACCCCGGAACAAAGCCCGCTATAGGTCCTTCAACCAAGGTATCTGGCAATCCGACGAATGGCCCGGGGTCCTCAAGTATTCAACAGGGTACAACCAGGGAGTAATGATTATTTCAATGTGTCCATTTACATAGTCCAGGTACAACATGAACTGGGTAAGCGACCATCTCTGTGGTCGTGGGTTGACCATTCTCCCGAGGACGTTCAAATCGCCTCGGTGTACGTTCAATGCCATCAGTGATCAATAAATTATGTGCCACGTACAAGTTTCTGGCAGTGCGCGGAAACTTGCCTCGTTTTCCAACAAGCAATGTGCTGAATTTTCAACCCTGTTCATAGTTGGTCACTTTTTCGTCTGTATTTTGGGGTGTGTCACTTTCTCGAGCAACATAATTATTTTACAGTATTCCCGCCATACAACCGAGCCCGGGTCACTCACATCGTCAATTCCCTAAAGAGTCAAGACACGTGCGGTGTGAGAATTTGCTCTCGAAGCAAGCTTAAATTCGACGAGCTCACGTCGCGCTTGGCTATATCCTCAACGTGGGCCTTGGCAGTAGGCAATGAGGATCGGATACGGTGATCAATAATGGAACACGCATACCTTCGGGATCGCGGTCGCGGTCGCGGTGCACATGACACTGGCGAGAGCGAAGAGCTCGAAGAGTTGCATTGGTGTTAGAGCTGGACGAGGGGTTAACAAGTAGAGGTGAGGAAAAGCCGTATGGCTGACCCTGCTATATATACTGTTCCTATTCACCGTTCGCTTCTGAACGCGCGC